ACAATCAAGTTCTAAAATTTTATTTCAAAATCCATATATAAAAAATCGAACTTATTAACAAATAAAATTATATAAAATTAAAAAATTAATTTGATGAGAATTTTAATAAGAAACAAACAATTGAAGAAGTAAATTTTAAACAATAAAAATAATATATATATATATATATATATGTTTAAACTAAAATTTTAAAATTATTATATATATTCTATTACCATAAAACTGTATGTAAAACAAAAAAAAATAATGATCTTTTTTATATTTTCACACCTAATTTAATGATAAAAAATATAAAAATAAATTATTATAAAGAAAAAAAGAAGGCAAACGTTGGTTGGTACTGCTTGTGGAAGCCTACTTCTCAAGGCCATCCCTATAAAAAAAAAAAATGGAAATGCTTCTCCGGGCCAACCCTAAAAAAAAAAAACTATTGTGAAATGAGTCAAGCCAGCTATCGGAGCCCGCTTCTCCAGGCCAACACTAATAAATAAATAAATAAATAAATACATTACGAGTAAATGAAAAGGAAAAACTCTAGTTTTTTAGTTTTTTTTAGAATAATTATAATATCTGAAATACACTTCTACCTTTTTCTTTCTCATTTGAATTTATATATGCAACAACGTCATTTTCATTGAAAAATCATAAAAATAATCAATCATATAAATTATAATAATATATTATAAAAAAATAAAACAATTAAGTTCTAAAATTTTATTTCAAAAGCCATATATAAAAAAAATCAAATTTATTAACAAATAAAATCATATAAAATTTAAAAATTAATTCGATGAGAATTTTAATAAGAAACAAACAATTGAATAAATAAATTTTAAATAATAAAAATAATATAATCAGATTTTTATGATCAAACTAAAATTTTAAAAAATATAATATATATTCTATTATTGTCAAACTATGCATAAAATAAAAAAAATATATATTTTTTTATATTTTCACACCTAATTTCTGATATTTAAATAAATTATTTATTAATAAATATTATATTATTATACCAATATATTTAAAATAATATTTAACTAATAAAATGTAATATTAATTTAATTATATGGTATAATTATCAAATATATTATATTACTAAAATACTTATCAATTTTTATATATATTCAAGTTCATAAAATAATATATCAATATATTATTTATATCATAATATAAAATAATAATAAAATATTATATTGTATAATAAATACAATATTCACAATCAAAATACAAAGAACTATTTTCTAATAATTATTTGATATTTTTTTTGTAAAATATAACGATATTGTATTATAATTATTAACTATAAATAATTTTATTATTTAAACAAAACACATTTCTAATAAATTACTAATAATCTAAAACAGAAGGCACTTTTACTGTGCCTTCTACGTTCTTTTTACTATTCAATGAACATAATGACCTAAATAATATATTTGGCCATATAATGACAATCCTATGAATATAGAAATTGAAAAAAAAAAAAGGAGGCTAGATGTTTTGAAGAAAACAAAACAAAAAAACACTTGGATAAATACAATATTCACAATCAAAATACAAATAACTATTTTATAATATTTATTTGATATTTTTTGTAAACTATAATTATAATGTATTATAATTATTAACTATAAATAATTTTATTATTTTAAAAATATATATTTCTAATAAATAAGGACTTAAATAACATATTTGACCATATTATAATAGCCCTACAAATATAGAAACTGAAAAAAAAAAGAGAAAACAAAAAGGAGGCCGGACGTTAAAAAAAAAAAACAAAACAAAACAAAAAAAACTACTATTTTTTTTGTAAAATATAATGATAATATATTATAATTATTAACTACAATAATAGTCCTATGAAATTTTAATAATTGGAAAATAGGATAAGTTAGTCAACAAATTATATTACTTTCAAGGCAATGAAGGTTGCGAAGTCTATTCATTAGAGAATGGAGAATGATGTATGAGTGAAGAAGTTAATATATATCATCGATTTAGAAGAATAGATGGCGTTAAAAAAAAAAAAAAGAGGGAAGACTGCTACGAGTAAACGAAAATGGCAAAAAAGACAAAAAAAAATTAGTTTTAAAATCAAAGGGACTAGTTAATTTATTCCCCAAAGAATTATATATATATTTTTTATAATTCCTTAAAAGAAAAAATAAAAATGGTGAAACGGTGAAAGAAAAATAAAAATAGTAAAATGATAAAAGGGATAAAAAATAGTTTTCAAACCAAATGAACTAATTAATTTATCTCTTAAAGAATGAGAGACCAAAATACAATAAAAACTTGATGAATTTGAACTTTGAGTATTTGGCTACAGTAGATGAATAGTATCACTCACTTTTTTTAATTTTTTTTTATAATGTGTTTATTTTCGAATTTGATTTATTTTTTCTTTCTTTTATATAATTTCTGTATGAGTTTGTATTTTATATATAATTAATTAGTTTTCATTTTAATATATATAATCGTTTATATAATTAATCAATTCAATTTCATAAAAATTATTACACGTGTTTGTATATGTTTCTGATATTTGCAAAGGATTTCATTAATTAATCGCTGCACTTGGAAGCTTTTAATCCAGATGACGAGGAGGATATATATTTGTGGTGGTAACCTATACTAGCTAAATACTTTCATGATTTCTAAAGATAAAACAAACACAAAAACTTTCCCAACAAATTTCTATTGCCGACAGAAGCAAAACTTTTGCATATCTTAGAAGGGAAACTTACTGTTGATTAACTTGTTGTATAAGATCAAAATGGTCTATCTTTTATCGTTTTTTATTTATCATCTATGAGGTGAAATGTTAATTTGTATGAGATTTTAGTGTAAGAAATATGAAAAAAATTCGTTCAAACTGTCTCTATATATATTTCAGATTTCAATATGTATTTACAAATTTAATTGCTTCGATTTTATTCTTATACTTATTTATTTTCAATAAATCAGATGGGTTTTTAATTTATCATACAAGAGAGTTTTCCTTCGTTTGGATGAGAAAAAAGGAAATTGATAGATTAGAGGATTATCTAAATTTTAAGGCAAATCGGAAGAATTATACTTCAAAAAGACACAACGGAGATTTCGTCCAAAATATGAAGGAAAAAACGAACTAGTTTTCTAAAATTTATACGTAAAACACTTTCCTTCTTTTATCTGTGGCTTGCCATCCATGGTATGCTGGAAATTATGCTAGACGGCGGACATAAATTATTAAGATTTATGATTTGAAAAAAAAAAAAAAAAAAAAAAACCTAGAAATACCCTGCAAAACTGCCCCACCATTTTATACTGCATTTTATGGATCTTAAATTTAATCATCATATCCTACCTGAATTCAGATATTACTTTCTCATGTTGTGTAAAGTCATCGACATACTATGCATATTTTTTATTTCCTTGACTCTGTCTCTGACAAATGACAATGAAATGCAGCTCTATCACATCCAGCCAACCTGATTATGGGACCCAAGGAGTGGAAATTAAATAAAAAAAGAAAGGGACAGTTTTGTTATTCTGTACCTGTTTTTATTCTTCCCAACTATATATGTTATGACCGAAAGTCTTCGGCTCGTGCAAGGGGCGTACTCCCATCGTCCCACGGATTCTAGAAACAGTACATTTTTGGCAATTGACCGTCACGAGCATCCAAAGGTCAGAAACCAATGATGAATTGCTCGGACAGAATTTGATGTGATTTTATTTATCAAAAAATCAGACTTGTCTCCTTTTTTTTTTTTTTTTTTTTTTTTGAGCTGTGTGAAATTCAAACCTCTCATTTGTAGCAAATAAAAAACCTAATACAGCAAAATGAATAAAAAGTATATACATCGTCGTTTTCATTTTCCTAATTTGTTTAAGTTAATCGTTTAAAATACTTATAATAAATCTATATATATATATATTTGTGTTATCATCAAAAAAGATTTTACACTGACTATTGTTTTATTATTTTAAAATTCAACCAAAAATATGATCATGCAAGCAAGGAGGCTCTTTTTTTTTTTTAAAGAAAAAAATTAAATAATGCTTCTCGCTTATTAATTCTGAGAAATCAAGCCATGTTCTGCTAAAAATAAAGGAGGTTCTTTTTTTAAAAAGAAAAAATTAAAATAATGCTTCTCGATTATTTATACAAAAATTACTATTAATTACCGCTTAAATAACATAAAATTTCTCACATTGAATTCACCAAAATGATAATACAGAGATAATATCAATACCTCAAGATAAGGAAAATGGAATTAATTCCAAATCATAAGATAAAAGTAAAAAACCTTTTATAGAAACCTAACATTTAAAATAAACTATAAAAAATTAAAATTAAACCAACATGAATCCAATCAACCGACACCGTGGTAGGTTTTCTTCTAGTACCCTTGTACGGACTAGGGAAACCAATATGTCGGGATTGGGGTCCAATGCGGCCATGAAAGCACAGATTAACTGATACTGGGGCTCATGCAGTATAATATAACTTATAGGGGCTTATTTTGAAGTTAATTTTAGGATGAATTAACTAGTACATGTTAGACAGAATTTATTAAGAATGAATAAATGAAAAAGTGATATTGTTCAATGTCAATTACGTTTACTATAAAAATTAAAAGATTAGATACTTAATTGATAATATGATCATAAATTTAGAACTAAATTGAGATTGCTTCTGTGTGGCTTTTGAAATCTTTGGAGGCGTTTATAATTTTTCTGATACAAATATGATATTTTTTGAAGCACACCACAGGTGGACTATTAGTAATTAATTCTGAAAATAAAAACGACGTATAATTCTAACTATTTTCTTTTTGTGAAGTACAATAGTTAACAGAGAGGAACATGGTGTCCCTTCACGAACGTAAAGCAACAAAAGCTGACGAGACATCTTGATGTCTACATGGACATGTTCAACCCCTGCGATTGGCTGTACTTCAGAATTGCTTTACTGTAAACGACACCTCATTGTCGGCTTTGCAGATGATTCATGGCCCCACTTGCATCCACGTGTATCCATCCTCTCCACCCCCTGTCCACGTGTCGTACGCCTCGTCAAATCCCAAATTTACAGTATCTGCCACCAAAGGAATCCTAACCCCCCTAAATATTTAGTCCGTTGCAACAGAAACATCACCATCATCATCACCAATATCTTAAACCTTTTAATCAGACGTCTAGAAATCCAAGTTTAATTTGTTTAAAAAACAAGCAACGCTAGTGATTACATTTTATAAAAACCATCTTTCTTGGCCTCTCTCAATCTCTCCGTCCTATTTAATTCTCCTATTCTCTTTTCTGGTTGGTATGCGTTGTTTTGTTCTTTATCAACCATGTCCAACATACCAAAGTCCCTTACATCCTCTTCTTTAGCCCTCTTCAACCAAGCCATGACTGCAGATCCTTGGCCATTTTCCTTTGCTTTCTTCTGAAATTTTCTTGGGAAATTGAAGTCCATAAAACAAGAAAGAATCACTCTAGGTTTTTTCTTCTTTCTTGTCTTTTGTTTTTCTGTCGCAGAGATATATAGATATTATTATGGGCAGTGGGGAAAAGAGTCTAAGGAACTTTCACCTACATCTGCCTCATCTTCATCATCACCATCACAAGAAGCAAGCGAGAGATGTTCCAAAAGGGTGTTTGGCGATCAAGGTGGGCCAGGGAGAGGAGCAACAGAGATTTGTAGTGCCTGTCATATACTTTAATCACCCACTGTTCATACAGTTATTGAAGGAAGCAGAAGAAGAATATGGTTTTGATCAAAAAGGCACCATAACTATCCCTTGTCACGTGGAGGAGTTTAGGTGCGTTCAAGGCATGATTGACAGGGAAAAGTCCATTCATCATCACCATCATGTCGGATGTTTTAGGGTTTGATATTAGTATATCATGAAAAAGATCGTGGTGGGTTGTGGTGCCAAACAGGCCTAACCCCATGGATTAGGTTCAGTCCTTTTTATTGGGATGTCTAGATTTAGAACTCCCTTTCTTAGGTTTGTTTTTCTTTCTTTCTGGTTTTTGATAGACCTTCATGTTTGGCTGATGAGGAAGTTTGATGATGATAAAGATGATGTGATGATGACGACAAAACGTTGTTGCAATTTTCTTGATTTTTGTTTCTTTGTTACGAACCATAATGACAAAAAAGAAAAAACAGAAGTAAATGCTTTTCGTTTCTTTTCCTTTTCCTTTTCCTTTTCCTTTCTTGAAGATGAATCCTGGAAAATTTTAATGGCAATGGCATCATTTGTATAGCACTGAGAAGGAGAGAATAAACAAGGCTAACCAATGGTAGGGCCATGCATACCAGTTTCTTTAAGACTTTAAATTTGCTTGCATAGGTCAATACTCAACAGGGATCTTGTATTAATATTGAATAATCATGACGCAGCACTCAACAATCACTTTTTCCTTGCATGGTTAAACCATATTTTTCTCTGAGTTCCCTTCTCCCTCATTCTTTCCCATAATTAATGCATTAATTATCACTTGATTTTTTTGGATTTGTTACTAAAGATAATTTATTTTCTATTTGACGAAATATACTACTAATGGATTATCCGATAAAAGGGAATGAAACGATAACGTCTAGCAGTTTCAAAATCTTTGCTTGATTATCCTGATAAGCATCAGGAAAGTTAAGAATAAAAAGGAAAAAGAGGATAATTAATTTTTTGAATTGAAGAGTAGAGTTAATCCATGAAGCCATAGCTAGCTGAATAATAAGGAACAGTCCCATGACTGCAGAAAAAGTACCGAACTCGAGTAGTAAATCGTTGGAATCCGTGAGATTGTATGACTCTAGGACTAGTTTAACTGTAAAGGTATAAGTGCATGGCTAGTTGTTGCTTCTGCTGCTGCTGCGTGGACCGCGTTGATTTGGTTAGGTGAAGAGTCAAGAAAGAGCCAGTGATTGGTGCCCTTCACGCATGGTAAGTTTCTCGGTTGATGTAAATTACATCGATTTCTCGTAGGACAGACGTACCTCTGCATGTATGCCTTCAACAGAAGAGCCAAGCATCATCAATTTCGAACCTTTTCCAGCGTCGCCGTATTTATTTAGGGCTAAAGATTATGGTTCTGGAAGGACGGTGTTTCACTGGCATACTTGGCTGTACGAATATTACAACTTTAAAACGTTGAAGACTATCACAGAACATCATGGGGCCCTGTGGTGGAGTGGTGGGGTTGGAATGTTCTGGATATGCTTAATGCCATTGCTAATTTGTGGATATTATTAAAAAGATTTAACTATTCTCGTAATTATTTGATTAGTATGGATAGGGACTTCTTTGTATTTTTCCATTTGTTGAATTTCTCATTTAATATGATTGATAATGATTTCTACTGGCTGCTATAATGACAGTGCGAAGCAAATAAATATCCCTATGGAATTATTTTATTAGATAATATTTAAATTTTTTATTTTCATTGCATTTTTTGTTCGAAAATTCAATTTTTCGGGATTTTTTTTTAATCATTAAAGATTAAAATACAGATTTCCAATTATTCACAGGAAGCATTGTTGTCCCTCTTTCTCCTTTCACGAAATTTCTTTTTTCCTTTTGTTTTTTCCCTCTTTTTTTGGAGGGTGAGGGTATTGGCAAGCAAAGTTTATAGTTGTGTGTGTGTGTATATATATATACACGCCATAATTAACAAGTTTAGATGAATTACGAACCATTTGCAATTTTTTAATTGCTCCATTAAAACTATATTCAGTGAATTTCTGTCGCGGAACTAATTAAATTCCATTAAAACCATTCGTGCGCATGTCCTCTTTGTGCATGGAAGCTAAAAATGTTTAATTTGGACTCTGTTACGCATTGCATTTTGTTGGACCTTTGTATGCTTGTAAAATCAAAGTCGAACATGCTAGAAAATCCTAATCAATTCTAATTTAATGAAGAAGATGAACACAATGCAGTATAAAGCAGGTAAACCATGATTTTGTCATAACAAACTAAAGCTGAAGGAAAAAAATACAAAAATTAAACAAGTTAAAAAAAAAAAAAGAGTAGAATCAAGTTTTTTGTGTCCTCCCTTTGTGCATCTGAATCTTATATTATGAAACGTGCATATAAAATACAGCCTTTAGTTACCATTCATTCAGATTTTAATTAGATACCATAAAGACATTAAAGCTTGAGAATATATATAATGGAACACTGATTTTTGAATAATTATTAATTAATTGTATCGTATATATACAAACATCTGTGAATGATCATATAATTAAATATGAATCTATCATCCTATGCAAGTTTGTGATCCTATTAATGAAGCACTTCTTTTTTATATTAAAAAAATATATGCAAAGAATGAAAATTAGTTTAATATCATGGAGAACACACTCATTAGCCAACTGAAAAACTTATTTGCCAGGTTCACTACTTTATATAAAAGGCTAATAAAATATGGACAAAAATAGGAATCTTACCAACCAAACGCAAACCACTTCTCCCAACATTAGCAATATATATCTATAATACTGAGTAATTAGAACAGAAAACAAGAATAAATGAACTAAAGTTTATGAACTTAAAAAAAAAAGAATATATATATATATATATATATATAATACTGAGTAATTAGAACAGAAAACAAGAATAAATGAACTAAAGTTTATGAACTTAAAAAACAAGAATAACCGGGCATGCATAAAGCCCACAATACGTAGATGCATGTAACAGGATAAATGAACTAGAGTTTGCCTTCTACATGTGGACCAATCTCGCACTCAAGCAATGGAGTTGGACATCTAGGATGTTACTTAAAAAAAAAACTAAACTAAAATCATTAGTTACTATTTATTATATTATTTAAAATATTTTTCATTTAGATTCATTCACATTATTTATTTAGACTCGGATGTATTATTTTTTTCATTATATAATGATATTTTTGTAATTATTAAATATTTTAAAGACATTTATTATAAAAGAGTTCATAACATTACATTTTTTTAAAAAAAATGTTACGTTTTTAGTTCATGAATATTTTCTATTTGATTTTGGTCTTACTTTTTGGTTTCATTTTGGTCACTTTAGTCATTGTTTTTTTTTCTGTAATTTTTTAATTAAAAATTTTAAGGCAAAAAGATGTTTAGAAAAAAACAATTTACAAAATAAGTTTTTTAACTAAAAATATGGATAAAAATAAATAAAAAAATTTTTTTAATAAAAAATTTATGAAAATATAAAGAATAATTAGTCAAATATAAAATTTTTATTGAAAATGATAAAATTGAATGAATTTTTATTCAGTTTTGATTTGATATATTTTGATAGAAGCATAATATAATATAGGACATTAAAATGAAATAATTTTTTAAAATAATTTTATATATTTTGTTCGATCCGTAATGTAACATGAATAAAAAAAACTAATGACAATTAAAGAATAAATCATATATTTCATCCTATAGTTTTTCATTCTGCTCCTTTCCCTGCTAGTTGTCAAACCAGTGTCAATATAGATTTACAATAAATATGTGTAATCAAAAGTAAAATGTTAAAAAAGGTATTAATTTTATAATGTTTATTCTAATCATACTATCAAACAAATTTTAATTATTTCGGCTTTAGTTAGTAAGGCATTCAAAATGTTATTTTCATAAAAAAAATAATTATGTAGAAGGATACCTATAGTAAATAGTAGTGCTACTACACTCATACTATCATATATATTTATATTTCATATTTTATAATTATTATTTTCATCATATAATCAAAATAATTTAAAATTTAAAGTGACAGATATCAAAATATTTTTTGCATTTTTTAAATAAAAAAACTGGCCACATACAAGGTTAATACCGTGTTTTTGCCCTTATACTATTGTTTCTTAATGGAATGTGCCCTTATAAAAAAAAAATTATGCATCTGATCCTTCTACTATTTGTTCCGTTAAGATATTTACACTTTCGTCAAGTTTTGTTGGATTGTTTGCTATATATGTGTTAAGCATCCATTGGTTGAGACTTAAAAAATTACGCGTGGTATATATATATATATATATAAACGAAAAGAAAAAAATGTATAGAAATTAAGAATTAAAAAAGATGGAAAATAAAATCATGGCTTCAGCTGGACGATTAATGGCAAGATATCATGAACATAAATTTTTAATTGAAAAATATATAACGGTGAGTTTCCTTTTTTATTCTTATTCTTCTTTTTTTTAAATCCTTTTTTCTCACACATAAATTATATGTCCATTTTCTTGGTAAATTAACATTAATACGTGATGAAGATGAACCCAATTCCAAGGAGTTGCCAGATTGGAAATTTTAAATTGATGTAAGAGGTACTAAGTTCTTATCTTCGAGCGCATCATTTTAGTTGAACTGCCTACTTAACTGTAGATATTAATTAAATATTGGACACAAGGCGAATTACATCAGGATCATATATATATATATATATATATATATAATCCTACCTTCTCTCACAATTTAATTAATCAAATTAAATAATCTTTCTGGGCAGTATGTAATCACAATTAAACTTGTTTTTGCTGCACTTGCAAGGTCAACCAGTTGACATGCTCTTCTGTTCTAACTTCTAATACAACTTAGAAAATTATTGACATTCTGACCTTTATATGAATATATAATTGAAGCAATTTTATTTGCCTTTTTTTAGTAAGCATTGTTTTGTAAGGCATGTAAAGTCACACGATTGCCTACTATATATATATATTATTCTACTTGTTGCTAAATCATGCTTCCACTGTATAAATAATGTGATTAAAATTGAGGATTTTTTAATTAACTATAAGAATGTCATTAGGTGAGTTCCTGACACCTTCCATCCGCTTGAAAAGAGATTATGCGTGGTTTAGTTGGAGGGTACTTACAGCCACATCGATCTGTGACAATTCTACATAAACTTAATTTGGAGAATATGGTCCAAGCCAAGTTCTTCTACTTAGTCAACTCTAAACTTTCCCTTTCATGATTGCTCTTCATAGTGCCATGCCCTGGTGCTTACTGTACCCATCTCACCTAATATGGAAAAGGAAGCGTTTTTGCTACTTTTTCTTAGCCTACCCAAATTCAATTTGCTCACTTGACACTTACAGAACATGACCTTTCTGGTCAACCTCAGCTCCTGATTAAACGAACTTCAAGCAAATGGCTCGACTGGGTACTGACTACCGTGGAGAGCGGAACTGATTAGCCAGTGAGAAGCTCAAAAATGCCCTTGTATCGACTGTCATTATGTTGATCGACAAGGAGATTTGAAAGGGACCACAAAATCTTGTGCACTGAACTGCAGAAAGCCCAAGAATATTCTTGTCTATTGTGATAGACATTGTTTACTTGGTCAATCTGGAGGCAGCCACCAGAATCAATTCAAACCAATTTCATTTGGTTTTGGTCTCCAATAATCCTCCAACCATATACAGTGGCCGACCACTACGCTTCCATGCACTGGACGCCATGAAATTTCAAGTTGCAACTAGCTAGGACGAGGTAATGGCAAATGTATTTCATGTTCAAGCTACACACGGCATTAAGTTGACATTTGAATTATTAGAAAGTAGAGTCAAATACCATGCAATGCTCGCCATTCATTTAATCTTCAGGTGGAATTCCGCATTCAAAAATAACACTACCATCATTAACTTGAGTTTAGGAATGTGTTTTGGACCATTACCCATAAAATATTCAATATAAATTCATGAAGATCCAATTTTCAAATTTGTTTGAAAATTCATTGCCTTCTATTCCTTTGTTATTGCACTACCAAATCCAAACATACTCGTTTATTGCAATTACTTTTTTCTAGAGTTATTTATCCTTTATATTAATATACAGGCATCCTTTTTTTAATTATTATAAAGTAATAAGGATACAAATTATCATACGACAACAAAGTTCAGAATAACTTTGAGGAACTTCAAAACTCATTATTTCAATAGTGGTGGAAGCCTAACTTGTTTTAGATGAAGGATCTAATTAAACGCCCAAATTTAGTTAGTTTTGAAGCACTAAATAATTATTTTTTTTTATATGAAAAAAAAAGACTTCACTATTATTTTGACAAATAGTTCAAAGGGTTTGGATACCAAAAGACAAAAAAAAACCTCAATAAGTATCTCAACTGAAAGTTTAAGACTTTGAAAGTGTTTTAAAAGAACATTATGATGCAATAGAACCATCACATGCTTTCTCTGATTCATGTATAGCTTAGTTGCTGATGCTCTACAGAAATTAACAGATCATACCATCCCGGAGAGGATCTGGGTAGGGCGAGTTCTGCTACTCTCGGACCTTGTACTGCAAGGATTTACCTTCAAAGGTTTTCAAAACTATTGCTATGCTTTCAATCAATCCCCAAAAAGGCCTCATAACGGCGATCCTATTCTCTTCTTTTGGAAAAGTAGGGGATAACGTCTAAGATTAGTGTTAAAAAACTAAAATTAAATCGAGCAAAATTGTAGAATTAAAAAACAAATCACATCATTCTGCCAATGATAAGGGTTTCCGATTCAAACAATACGACGTAGAGAGAGGCCAGGCTGGTGCTTGATCACGCTGGCGAGATCATGTATAAACCGCAGAGTTAAATAGTTAAATACGAGGACGAGAGTTCCACCATTTAACCTAAGAAACGTACAGTTCAACACATCTTACCAGTTACATTCAACAACAAACTTCCAGTGGACGTAGCTTGCATACGCTAAAAATTGATGAACAAGGGCAGTTATTAGAGATCGACACTAATTTTTTAAAAACTGTTTGTTGTCAGACAATTTTTATCCAAGATAAATAAACCAATAATAATCTGAACTAAATCACTTTCTTTGTTTCCTTTGGGCAAAAATCAGGAATGAGCCAAGAAAAAAAAACTTAAATTAAAAATTCGCCCCAACAAACTCAGAACTGACTCGGCTAACAATATATTCACTTATGCACACCTTTCTGTACCCCACCCAAGAAAAACAAACCCTCCAAATTCTCCAATGCCACAACTTTTTTTTTTTTTTTTTTTTGAAAAAAAAAAGAAAAACCTATATGTCAAAAAGCTAAAAAAACTAATGGTGTCTCGTATTTGAGCTACGAAGCGTCACACCATGTAAAAATTTTGTATACCCAAGTAAACTAAGCTTCCCGTCTGAGTTTCTGATCCAATCTTTGATGAATGTATAGGCTGAAGGGCCCACATTTAATTCCTGCAGAGTGGAGAGATTTAAAATGATATTCAAATAGCAAGCAATGTGTGACAATATTCAAACAGCAGCAGTTGTATATACCCTTGCCAATTCTTCAACAGAGATGACTCGGTTACCCTCCTGTTCAAAATGCTCAAAAGCAGTGGAGGCAATCTGCTCCCACCCCTCAAGAGCCTCTAATTGATATGTGCTGATAGCAGCTGCGCAAAACTCTTCAAAATACATCTTCCTATAAGCAAGGGATTCCATCTGACAAGGAGGTACAATCAAAAAAAGAATAGCCATCAAGTTTGAGGTGAAGAAAAGGGAAGAAATCAAAACTATTCATAATCTTCAGAGAGAACCCAATTCGTTTAATTGGATTGACCATCATGCAAAGGCAACAAAAAGGCAAGTGTATTTTTTGAAATTCAAGTGCTAAAAGAAAAGGTTTCCTTCACACAGAAAAAAAAAATTCCTAGGCTTAAATTTCTTTAAGTTGCAATCAACAAAATTCTTTAAATATCGAGAGTGACTGCTGGTTATCATGTTTCTAGCAGAGAACTAAGTACTAGTACCGCATTGAGAATTTCAGGAACCCTTGACTCTCTCATGGCATCAGTGGCATTGCGCACAAAAGCCTGGAAAAAATTGCAATATTTTTGTTTAGGAAAATTATAATCTCATTCCTACTCCAGTCATAGATCGGTAGACAACTGAAATTGATCGAAATAGAAACAGTGACTAACCATTCTGAAATTATCAAGTGAAACACTTCCATCACCATTTGGTTCCAACAAACTGAATTGAGCTCGAAGATAGACAAGCTCGTCCTCAGTCAAAGCTTTTGAGAGAGCCTGCAATAAGAAGAGAATCCAAAGAAATATCAGCTGATATACGATGGAACTCAATTCTTCAACCTTCAGCAGAATTCAAATATTAAGCCACAATGATGATGCACTTAGCATCTGCAAAAACAGTTGAGCCGAAGGTTAGAAACAGACTCAGGCTGATCTTCGCTTATACCTACAAATCATGGAGACTTTTACTTGAAGCAGTCCATTCTCTATATGGCAATGGACATGAACGCTGCTTTTAACTTACTTATATTTTAACAATATCGTTCCAAATGATTCTGTTTTGAGACGGAAAAAAAGAAGGCATATTCTATTGTTCAGATAAAATCAGGGGTTTCAATCAAATATTGGACTAGGAATCCAAACCAATGATTATATAAGGAATTTTTTTAATTAAGTACAATAATAAAATTAAAAAATTGCACAGCTTATAACTTATTAGCAGATTTAGTTTGCCTCAACAACACCTCCCTCCAGCACAATAAAAGAAAAGAAGCACCAAACTAGAGACTAACAAATGTTTGAAGGTTCTCTGCATAAGGCATTCTTTAGGCAATGCAAATAGGCAATTTCTAAATGTCGACTTTCATGATCAAGCCAGTAAAATTGAATTAGTTTTAGTACTTCAGGATATACATTTAATGCTAAATGGTGTGCATATTTGCATTTGAACACATTTCCTCACTGGATTACCAATTATGTTTCCTTTGATAACACACTTAAGCTTTGAATCTACATGGTGAATAATTTTCGCATGATCAGGATTAAGATGGAACATGAAATCTTTAAGGGCACGCATGCGCGTGCACACACTGCGCTTGTTAACAAGGAAAAAGAATTAATACCTTTAGTGCAGCGCGTTTAAAAGGGGTAGCATGCAGGTATGCCTTGACTAGCTTGTAGATCAATACGTCTAAATGAATAGGACGACTATCATCCCTCAACCATGGGTGAGCTGCAATTATTGAGGTTCTCATTAGCTAAAAGAAATCAAGAAATTAAAAGCGTCGGCTGTAAATTTGTCAAGATCATCAAGTTCTGAATTGTCAATGGGAACACAAGATGCAACATGCAATATAGCTGATAGACTAAATTTCATACTAATGTCAAAAATCCAAATATTGCAAGTAATGTATAATTTCCAAAATATTTCAATCACATACACCTCCAGTTGACACCTTTAAACAATATGGACCCAACCAATTAGATCCAGGAATAGTCATCCTTATACAAGAATAGTCATTCATATATAACATGCAATACAGAAATTACCAACTTACTTAGTGCTTGGACAGCAGTCATTCTTTTCCTGTAATCCTTGTTCAGAAGTCTCTTCACAAAGTCCTTGGCCTCTGGAGTGACAGAAGGCCAGGGTAGATCTTCAAAGTTGGGATCAGACCTCAATACTGCACGAAAAATTCCTGATTCAGTCCGTGCCCAGAAAGGCCGGCTTCCACATAACAAGATATAAGTAATAACGCCAATGCTCCATATATCTGCTTCCAGACTGTAAGATCTATGCAGAACTTCAGGTGCAACATAGTATGCACTTCCAACAATATCATTTAACCTTTCATCTGCAAATATGACAGAAGTAAAGCATTAAAAACTCTCAGATGTCAGCTAATATGTAAGTAAATTATGAAGATATATAAGCCACATTATAGTTTAAACTAGAAAACCATGTGCACAAATAACATCAAAATAAAATAAAATAAATGGCAGGCATTATACTCTTATATTATCACTGTTAGAAATTCCCATAGCCTGTGTCAATTAAGCTTAATAATGTAAATGCCAAATTAGCACAATCAAATCTAAAATGCTGTCACTGTCAAAACATATGTTGCATCAGTTAATGCATATAGAATTCTAGTTAACAGGCATGGAGCAAGTAAAGACCTATCACAAGAAAACAACCAGAGTAATCCTGTGAAAATTTAAAAATCTCATTGCTGATAAAGGGACCCAACCCATTCAGTGAAAGATAAATAAATCAATCTACTTGTAGTGCAATGGAGGCAAGGATCGTATTTTCTGTGAGTTGACCAAGAAACATGGAAGGCTCTGCTTATTACCTGGCCTAATAAAGTCAGAAAGACCAAAATCAATAAGCTTCATATCAGCATCTTCACTGGCAGAAGCGAAAAGGAAATTCTGTAACGAAAGAGGATCAGTTATGAGCGAGCATAGAATAAAAGCTCCACGTAAACACTGCCAGCCCCCACTAACCAATGACACCACCTTGCGATGATAAAACTTAATGCTAAGGTACACAATTTACATGAACCAATAACACATCAAGTTTGAAAGAAAAAAACCTCTGGTTTCAAGTCACGGTGTACAACACCTTGAAGGTGACAAAATGCAACCACACACAATATTTGAACAATTATAGCTTTTGCATCTTCCTCCGTGTATCTTCCTCCTCTGCACCAGAGGAGAATGCGACATTAATATCAGTACATAACATTTCAACCATGCAAGAACCATTTAACAGAAAATATAATTTGGATCGGTTCTACTGAGCACAGGTTGATGAAAAAGTTCACATGCAACATCCACCATGGTTATAACCTGCGGCCAAGGCCAGTGGTCAACAGAAAAAAAAAGTTCATAGCGCCTGCAAAGACTATATTGCATTACCTTGCCAAAATTCTGTCTAAAAGCTCCCCTCCATCGCACAGTCTGATAAGCAAACAGTAATCCACAAAACAGTAGAAATGAAAGTTCAAAATGTGTCACAAAATCACACAACACAAATAAAAGTTAATACTTCAACCCAAGCAAAACATTCCAAAAATTGCCATTTCTAAATACAGCAGGAGAAAAAATAAAGACAGATGCAATGTTTACAATGCCCAATTATGTTCATTGCATAAGTTTGAACAGAAAGTAAGAAAAGACATACTCCATCACTATGTACACGTTATTGGCATCTTCACATGCATCATAAAATTTGACCAGATGCCTATGTCCTGATAGAGCTTTCAGTATCTTTACCTCCCTACGAACATCTTCAATTGAGATAGCAGTTGTCATCTGCCAAATAAGCCTTGTGAAAAAATAGATACTACACAATCCATAAGGCAACTAATCCTAATTATTAAGAGAATTCAGAGATTTAGAAAATCCGACCACTGCACGTAAAAGAAACAAGTAATAACTGAAGCTATCAAGGGAAACAACCAAGGATCCTCATTAGGAAATAGAAAATACAAGTTTAAGCAGAAAACTTCAATCATCAGCGTATACCAGACACATATTTAATGAAGGAAAAGGCCACAGAATTTCCAGTATGTCTTTGCATCATACACTGGGACAAACAGTAGACATTGCCCAGCTCTGGAGTTTGTTACACATATTTAGTACATGTGGTGGGGGGGTGGGTGCCTGCCTTTGATTTCAATTGCCTTGAGTGGACACATGCACCCAGGAGCATGCATTCAAGCATCTATGTGTGTTTGCATGCATTTGTATTGGGTCAACAGAATGGATAATTGGCAATTGGACCTCTTTTATGACTCCTATAAGAAGGGGGCTCAATAGAGTTTAAAGCGAGTGTGTGTGTGTAAAAGAGTTGGACCAATAAAGTGAATTTCCATTTTTAAGTGAAAAGCAGCAAGAAACTCGTCAAATGATCACTTTGCACAATAAGACAGCAATTACAGGCATAATTACCCAAAAAGAAAAAAAAATCTATATAAACAAATCCAAGAAGTTGCAGAAGATTAGACGAGGACCTTGAAATAGAACATTTATAATCATGAGTGTGTTTGTGTATGCTCAAGCACATCCTTACATGTCTTTATTACAAAATAACCAATTTACAGTTCATATTTTATAGTCCAGAAGTATGATGCCGAAAGCCTATGAAGCATAACAAATAATACATTTCCCTGAAAGTATTATAGATAGCTAAATTCTTTCTGTGAGTATAGATATTGGATGGTTTTCACAAAAAACTTCATATTTCCAAGGAGATTCAGCTTTTAGCTAGCAAACCATTGATCTCATTAATCGAACTTGTGTCATGAAAATAATTTCATTCACATATTATCTGCATTTTTCACAGAAAAATCAAACAATTTGAGAGTTAATTATTCTATAATGCATGTCAATATAAACAAGGTCACAACATATCAAGTCGTATTTATCTTTTCAGGTCATCCTCACTAGAGTTTCATCTTTGAGGACACAACTAAAGCTGAGAAAGCTATTTGAAAGTTGAATGCCCATAGTTTCTATTTCAAGTATTTGTATGCTTATATGCTGCAATAAAGCCAGTGCCAGTGAACTCAATCAGTATCATCAAATGAACTCTGGCAGAGCAATATTCTCATTAATGTTTCTCTCTTGAGAGACAAAAGGCTAGGCTTAGATATGAATCACCATAAGAACTCTGGAAGTTCATTTTTCCAGTTGCACCAAATGCATATCAGGCATGGAGAAATATTGTTACAGCTCATATGCTTATACGATGCTTTCTTATCAGAATCATATATTAACAATCATATCAGTGTATATCATCCTCATCCATATAAAATTTACATCCTTACAAGTAATTAAATTTAGGGACACATAGCATCAAATTAAAACTCAGACCGATCTTTATCTCTATTCTTAAGGTTTAGCAGATATACGATTACCAGAGGTGCTCAGTTAGTGTACACAATTTTTTAACATTTTTTTCTGCGTCGATTTCCAGGTCTGCAAATGGAAATATATCACCATAAGTGCAATCAGATTTTATTTATTGAATTACAGATCCTTATATCAAATATCTTGTGCATTAACCTGATACACGTCATTAAAACCCATACGACATCATCTTTAATCTTCTAAATAATGCTTATCAAGGAGTTCCTTCTTCTAGTTCCTTCAGTTACATTTTAGTTTTGGAAACAAGCTGTCCTAACCAGATACCTCGTATCATACTCAGATACTGACAAACACACCTATGTCCTTTACATTATTCCCCAAACATTCACATCCATATTTTCAGTCGCGACACAAACTAAGTTTGACTTAGGGAATCCATACTGCCTTTGAAAATTCTTGCAACGCATGGCCGGAATACATTGCAGATAAATATACCTCAAAATTCTCAATTTAATTTTTGTTCTTAAAAAAAAGTAAGTTCTTCTACAATCATCCCCATCAATGTGCTTCCTAACATGTAAGCACCACGGCCGCACCAAGCCTAGGAGTTGCCATATATTATCAGTATCTTAAACAACTTACTAAAATTAGCCCTAACACGTCAACAAGTCAAACACAACATCTGATCTAATTTAAAAAAAAAAAAAAAAAAAAAAAAAAAAACCTCACTATTCAAATTGAGGGGAAAAAATAAAAACGAGAGCATTGAACTTGTACCTTAGCTTTTGATATAATCTTGACAGCGACAGGCTGATCTTTAAGTTCACCTTTCTTAACCCTAGCAGAGCAAGTATGACCAAAATGTCCTCTTCCTACTTCCTTCCCTAGCTCATACTTAGCTCCAAAATTCTTGCTATATCCAAAACTCTTATCAAGCGACTGCTGCTGCTGCTCCGGCTCCACTCCCCCGTGCTCCGGAATCGGCCCATCCTTCGGCTTCCCTCCACCACCAAGCCTCTTCACCAACGACGCCGCTATATGCTTCGCCGGCGACGGCGGAGGAAACGGCCTCCTAAAAATCTCCTCGGCGTCGACGCCCTCGCGGGGGAGGGCGACACTCCTCCAGGCAGCGGGCTGGCAGCGACACCATGTGGATACGGACTGGGCCAGGGGCTCGGGTGTGTTGAAGAGGGCCTCGCCGGTGTGTTCTTCACTGACCGCAAGCCGTTACGCGGGGTAGAGGAAGGTAACGGTGTTGGTTGGTCGTGACCGGTGGAGGAAGCAACAATTGTGATAGTTGTTGCGTCATTTTCGTTAGTTGGACTAGTTTTGCCGTAACACTGCCCCATTAAAAGAAATCTTACAACCTCAGTCAAAGTCCACACATCGGACGGTTAATAAAAATATTTCTCCTCCGGATCTGATCTGATCATCACCGGAGAGAATATAAAAGGTTAATAAAGAAAAGGAGAGAGTGAGACAGAGAGATCTAAGTTAAGAAAACGATAAAAGAAGAGAATGAAAAGAGAGTTTGAACTTTGAAGTCAGAGAGAGATAGAGGAAGAAAGAGAAAAGGATTTATTTTTGTAAGAAACAAAAGAATATGAGACACAGTGAGACAGACAGAGATAGAATACAGCACAGGTGAAGGAACTGTACAAGTAGCAGCAAAGGAAGGAAATTATATTAAGGAGTTGAATTCGCATAAAAAGAGTAAAGTTATGGATTAATAATCTGCCGTTGGATTTGTAGAATCAAATTAATTATATTTATGGAAGGTGAAGATCACGATGTGAGAGAATGAGTAATAATAATAGGTGGGCGTGCATTCATAATCAGAGAGAAATAGGAGTTGGAGTTTTTTTATTTGTTTATTTACAACTAAATACGAACACAGAGAAGATCTGTAGAAGTTGGATAAAGTAGTGTAGCATAATGCAGTACAACGCACTTTTTATATCTTCAATTATGGACTAAATCCGTAAAATCAGCCCCAAACTTTAATATATTTGAAAATCATTTTTTAATTTTTTAATTTCAAATTTCATTTTACTTGAATTTTAATTTTACTTTTTTTTTAGATGTGGTCTATTTTTAATTTTTTTTATAAAATAAAAAAATTATCACATAAATTTAATTTTACTTGAATTTTATTTTTTACTTTTTTTTTTTTTTTGAGATGTGGTCTATCTTTTAGTTTTTTATAAAATAAAAAAAGATCACATAAATAGGTTCATTCTAGAAATGATCTAGGAACATTTATATGGAGATCTCATAAAATTTAAAATTATCTCAAATTATTTTTTATTTTTTAATATTTTAAAAAATATATACTTTTTGAATTTGAAAAATTCTGAAATTTTTTCATTAAAAAATTTAGATTTTTCGTTTGTTCAAAAAATTATAAATTGATTTTTTTTTATAAAATGTGTGATAACTGAAAATTATAATACAAATTAAATTTTAAAAAATCAAATTCAAAATTCCAAATTCCTTTGGCCATTTAGCCTTGAATTAATGAATTGTAAACTATTTATCACTCTTTCACTGTCAATTTCTTTTTCTAAACGGATTGCCGTACAAATCTCATTCATCATCATTTCGAGTTTATGATTCCTAATTAGTTATCGACGGAGAAAACAGATTTTCAATCCTTCTCAGTTTTTGCGCACACGAAAAGATATTGAAGATTAAACCTGAGATTTCGTGAATTTATTTATTAAATCACCAGTTTTTCCACTCAGTGAGCTCATGTGGTTAATTTGTACGACTTGCTTTCGGTTCTTGTCTTTTGCAACTTTTTGTTGCCGTTGTTCTCTCCCTTTCTTTCTTCTTTTTTTTCCTAATTAAAAAGGAATTTCATGGATAAAATAGGTATTTAGTATTTTCAGAACTACATATGGAAATGGAATCGTGCTATCATTAATTACAACACGTTCTTTTTCCGGGCTTAGAAAGATCCCGCCGATGGTTTACAAAAATGCCCATGCAATGAAACGCGGCTCTGTGTTGAAGGCGTAGAGGATTTTAGACAATCTGAGCTGAGTGAGGAACATCGACAGCAAAATCTGGTCCCAGGGTTCGAATTGACGAGAATTCGCCAATTCGTGAAGCCCAGAGGAAAGTTAATCTGATGTGGCGAGATCTTGGCCGTCGAAAATTAAACATGCCCGAGTAGATCTTTGAGAAGTTGGGCAATCTAAATAAAAGAAATGATGTAATTTCATATTATTGGAGTTTTCTTTATTTTGTTTTGTTGATTTTATTATCAAAATAATAATAATTTATCAAAATGACATATGGAATTGTACTTTTGAGATCTTTTTTAAAAAGAATTTGATCTCAATTTGTACACGGGTTCATTCAATAAATATTAAACACAAATATAGAAACTTGTTTTTATTTTTTTCGTTTACGAAAACATGAAAAGTCAACGACTAATTGTCAAAAAATTTCAAAAACAATAAAAGTGATTTTCAAACATTGCGATAGGTGTTCTTGGTCTTGGCACTTTCTAAGCAAAATTAAAATAAACAAGTTTCATGTTTGAATTTCAAAAAAAAAATAATAATAAATAGTTAACTTTTGGACAACTTTATCATACATTAAAACCATAGCCGTTAATTTTAAATTTAATAATTTAGACTTAACAATTAATAAAATATTATCGTGAGAGACATGCAAGAGTTGATATGAACCTTAAATAATCAAATGATATATTTTAATTTGCTATTCGAGGTTTATATGTGTTGTTTCAATAAGATTTAGCATCTTTCATATTTGTTTTACTTTCTATTTTCATCCAATTTTATCGATGATAATAATAATAAAAATGTTTAAATTTCAATTTTGTTTGTAAAGTTAATAAAATGTCCCAATATAATCCAAAATATAAGAATGAATAAATTGAATAAAAAATCATTAAAGAAATACTTTTTTTTTTTGTAAAACAAATGTGACCAAAAAAAATATCCAGCGACACTTTCTAGCCAATCATTAACAATAAAAAGATAACATTAAGATTAAAAAAAAATATGACAGTAAGAAAAATAATTAATAACACTATCAATTGTCATGGTTATTGTTTTTCATACACTTTCTCATTAGCATACCATATCTGCAAGTTTTATTCAATTTTTCATTAAAGTATGCTATAAAATTTTGAACAAGAATTGTGAAAAAAATAATAATTGAAATCCCATATGCTTAGAATGGTAGAACAAGGATAAAACAAATCTGATATCATCTGAATTTAAATTTATTTAAATTTTTATTTTTATTTATTTGTAGTATTGACAAAGAATGACCTGATATTACTATGTGAGTTTTGAAGTTAATAGGGTTGCGGTATTTTTTGAGCAACTAACCCTCTAAAGTTTTATCATATTTATTTTACTAAAAAAAAATTTTCCAATTGATTTTCTATTTTTAATTTTTAAATTTTAATTTGATTTTTTTTCTTTACTTCTCAGGCGATACTGAGATATTTCTTAATTAAACTTCAAATGTGACATTAAAATTTACACATTTTTTATTATTATTCTTGATAGAAATGGACGAGGAAGGGAAATTAAAATTAAAAATAAAAGATATTGAATCCAATTAGAACAAGAATGAGAAATATCAAAGCTTACGAAAACAAAGTAAAGATTTTAAATAACATCGAAACTGCATAAGAAGCTCAAAGAAACAAACACCTTTAATCAAGTATATTTACACAAGGTGGATGTGTGGGCTCGATCGTTATCTAACCAAAGGTAATTAGAGTCAAGTCATTAAAACACAAAATGGTAGATTAACATAAATCAATCATTTTTTTTTTATAGAAATTATGAAAGCAAGCATGCCCCGATGGAAAATGTTTCCACCTGTCTTTTTTTGGTCCCATAGAGGGTTCCTACTCGAATTCCTCAATTCACCATCAAATTTAAATACATTAGTGCAGAAACTTTAAAATCTGAGTAATGATGAGTAGTTGTTATTCAACCGCTACATGCACACATGGTTGATCAATAATTAGGTGGGAATTTTCCAATCCAGTGTGTAGAACCAATTAATTATCGTTCTTATCTTCTCTTTTCTTTTCTTCAGTTCTTATCTTAGAGAACTCTTCACTCTGGATACTGGATGTATGATCTCAGTCGCAAGAATCATTCAACATGAAATATAAGTCATTATTGAGCGAGGATGCATATGTCCATTGTATTCGAAATACCCAGCACTGGTGCAGCTGCTTTTCAAAAATGCTCCAGTTGGCGACCAACCAATCAATATTTCACTATAGAACCCTTAATTTGGCTTACCATATGAAATTAATGGAGCTAACTGTCCAACACATGCTGACAAACCCCACGTATGACTGTGTTGTGCCATGTATAACTCTAACTCGAGAGTTGAATCTTTCAACTTACAGTACTATTTCTGCGCCTATTGATTAGCCATGTAACTCTATCCGTAATTATACAGTTGCTTAAAAGAAAGCAGTTCATCGTCATCAAAATGGTAAAAGTGATCAGAGATGAGGTGTGGCTGATGCGGATAATGATGCAACATGCATGAGTGATATTCCTAGTAGAGTTGTTACACGGTAACAGCGAAATGGCAATAAAATTTGGCCATACAAATGTTCATAGCATTTATCAAGTCGCGCGGTGACGAGTGCATGAAGTGAACTTGAGATTTCTGGAAGCTGAGCAACTTCCAATTGTCTAAATCTTTTACAATTGGCTCGAGGATGTAATAAATATTCTATTTGTCATAATTCATACTGTATTATTATCTTAATTCTGGCCCTCGGAGTTAAAGATTACTAAACAAGAAAACGTAAGTTGAGAACCTAACCTCATAGATGCATTATTGGCAATAAAAAATTTTCTTCTGCATTAGAGTAGTCAAAACTCTAAACCAGCCAAAAATTAATTTCTATCCCGAAGAGCATTTCATACGTAACACATGACCTTTTTTTTTCTTTTTTTCCCTTAAGTATCGGTAAGTGATCAAGTCGGAACAAGTTTTTTATGCATTCATCTCCGACTTCTTCTGGATATCATGCTCGACCCAACTAGATAAAGACTTTATTTATAGGTACCCGACGGCAATAGGAATTTAAGAAGCGATCCTAATCCTCTTAAAATTTGAAAAGTTTCCAGAATCCCTCTTGAACTTCCAAAAAAAATAATTATTATTATGATCTTTTTTGAAAATGCCTCCCCCCCAAAAGAAAGGGAAAAAATCATTTATGCCTCTTCAGACTGGATTAGTCCCTGTCCGTCCCGGTTTTTTGACTTGCAATAATAAAAACCGCATTAT